TGTATTTTTTAATATTACAATCATAGAATTTATGGATGAAAAATATGACTAAATTGACTATAAGTATACTTTATCAGACTCGAAGAATGATCTTGTCCAATAGGAGGGAGTAACATTTTCTTAAACTAGTGAAAACCCAAATGAGATACTCATTTTGATACGAAGTTAACTTTAGACCCCATCGGTAATGGTTGAAGCAAGTCATATGCATATGGGACGCTAATACATGGTTCTAGTTTCGGTCCATGTAAAATATCGGTTTCAAAACATGGGCAATGCCGCAATGTTTAGTTTTAAAGAAATTGCTCTAAATGGGGAGAACGTTTTGTGAATTCTAAAATTTGTCTGTCATGTTTTGATGGACTAAATATAGATAATTACTGCCACATTTTGACGCTTCCATAGTCTAAACACAACAATATTATTCAAGTTTGATAATGATTATTATTCCCTCCGACCCGCTAAGATTGTCTTATTTTACCTTTTTGGGAAATCTCACTAAGATTGTCTCATACCAAATTTGGTAAAGTTTGTGTGACTCTAAATCATTCTTCATTCTTATTTTATCAATTTAATATCAACCACACAAACCTACTTTTTTTTAATAATCGTGTCACCTTCTTTTGTACCAATCTTAGTGGGACAAAGATAATAATATTTAAGGAATAAAAACATGATAGTGCTATTTTGAAATTTAAAAATGTCTTTAGTCATATTTGGAAATTTTATCTTAGTTTTATCATCTAAGCAAGAGTTAGTCCGCATAAAGAGCTTATACGGAATAATATAGAGCTCTTTTGATTAGGGGTGGTTCGGTACGGTATACCTTATATTTTTTCTCATACCTTTGCCATACCAAAATATTCGGTATGCAAAATTTGCATACCTTTACCTTACCGAAGTTTCGGTATACCGCATTTCGGTATACCGAAGTTTCGGTTCGGTAACGGTACGGTATCGGTAAATTACCGTGCATGTCTCCCAATACAAAAAATTATCATAGACTAACGAAATATACTAAATCGTTATTACTAGCGACATATTAAATCTATTATTAAAATGTTACGAAATACAATTAATAATCTATTGATGTCAATTCAATATTGAACAATAATTATTATTAGTATATTTAAGCAGTTCAACATACCACATATTAAAAAGTAACACATTCTCCTAAAATAACTTGAACAATATAGATATAATTAAATCAATAGTGATCTCTAAAAAAAATAAATAAAACTATTCAAACAACATGGATATAAAATTATTTATAATTTTTTAAAAATTGAATAAGACTTTCGGACAAAGTTGTGTGTCTCGGCTGGCTGAATCCCTATGTAGATACACTTGTCACATAAGTGTATATATCTTCACTCGTCAGCTACTTAGCGGCCCAACCATCACGACTTGCAAGCTCTTGGAACAAGATGGACTTGTTTCTTGACATTTGTACATTACTCATTAGTTATTTAAGGTTAGCATAGTAGAAGCCTATAAGGTTATAGTGGGTTTGAGAAATTGGACCTTTATTTTTGTATTTTTGTATTTGTAACCAACTTAAATATTAATTTTGGGCTTCAAAATTGTAATGGATTTCTACAATATATTAGAATTAAAAGTAATTGTTGAGTAGGGAGTCGGTACGGTATTATATCGGTATACCGCGGTATTTGAAAACATGTACCGTTACCGTACCGAAATAGACCGGTACGGTATGATACCGTACCGAAAATGACGGTATACCAATATTTCGGTATTTTCCGGTATTTTTCGGTACGGTAAGTGCGGTATACCGATATTTCGGTATTTTTGCCCACCCCTACTTTTGATAACAATGAAATTGATTGAACTAGCTAATTTGATGAAATTGGAATTATGAAAAATAGCTAAAATAGTCACCTGCAGTAACTTTGGCCATATAAATCAAAAAAGCAATTGAATCTTACTTATTTTATTTTGATTATTACAGAATTAAATTCAACAAATCTTAAATTAATTTAATTGATAAGAACGATAAGCTAAAAATATGAGCTAGGAAATGGGCGCCTAATTCTTCAAATAAGGATGTTTTCTTTAGGACTCAATTGCTGATCTGGTCAGATAAACGTTTGATATCTGTGTATTTTATAACTACAAAAGTCTGATCAGATCTAATCTGTTCTGATACTCTGGTCTGCAATACGTCCAAAAGAAAACAAGGCTAAAAAAATCCAAGCTAAAGCCCTAGATGATGTAAGCATCTTTCTTACTCATGAAACTTTTGTGATACAAATACACAAAAGATGCTTAGCATTCAGTAACATTTCACATTTGTGATACATATCTTCCATAAAATGTTTTTGCCAAAAAGGCCACAAGCTGATTGATTGATTGAACGGTTGAACCACGAAGTGTATCCATCCTTGGGTGGACTTAATTGGTACCCGAAGATGGGAGCAACCAAATATAGATTCTGCTGCGTTTGGACGAGTGAAAATGAATATTCAGGATATAACACCCTGTTACACTGTAATTTATTTATTTATAGTTGCTGGCCACACTGTCCTTGTCTCTCAAAATAGAAATATCTGTTTTCTTTTGGAGAGAAAAATCAAAATGAAAAAAATAAATATTCAGACCAGTCTGTTTTGGATACCCAGAATGAGGACCAATCAAAAGCATATGCAGCACATGCCCACATAAAGCCATCTTTATTTTTTGTAAAAACATTAAATGAAAAAAATCGGTACGGAATTGAACACTTCCGTTCAGCTAATTTAGAGCACGTAACATTGTTGGTGTAATAATTTAGAATGTGCATTAATTGAATAAATAAAAAATTTAGAGTTATTAAAATGAAAATAAATAAATATTGAAATAGATAAATGTGAAGAAAAAAAGGGGAGGAAAATAGGAAATAGGCAGAGCAGGTAGTAGATGTCACTGCAGTCCGTAACACACCATGTGAGGGCATAACATGAAAGGGGCAGTGCTGTCTATTTTTATTTTTTTTTTCACTCTCATTATCATGTGAGCCTATTTAGCTGCCCCTGGCCTGGCCGTAATTATAGGTGCAAAATCTAAGTTGCACACATGTGATCATATATACAATCATGACTCATGTAATAAACAAATAAATAAATGCATAATTTAACAAAAACAATGCAAGCTAGATATAGAGTCTGTTTGATCGTCTGGATTTATTGAAATTTATGAAAATCTAGTTGAAACGATTAAATTTACTAAAATTTATGAAGATTTGATTGAAACAGTTGAATGATAATCGCTGCATTATTGAAATATTTTTATACTTAACAAAAAGAAAAAAACTATATACTCCGTAGAAAAGAACTAGAGTGATCTTCAATTCTAAAATTACTTCAGCTAGAAAAGCTAATTAATTTAATTATTATTTATTAAATAAGTAAACAAGCGAAATAAAAAATAGGTAATTAGTGGAAAAGTTAACTCAAATTGATTTGCTAAAACTTGAAATCTAACAAAATGTGACTTTTTTAAATTCCGAAATTTGTTGCCATTAATGGAAGGAGTTTTCATGTTACATTAGAAAACCCCACGTGTTTATTTTAATCCTTTTCCAATCTCATTTGCTAAGCGATATAGGTCAACGTATAAAGTTGAAAGCTACTTCTAATTAAAAGATTAATTAATCAGATTAATTGCATATGATGATAGAAATTTTAACTTCATCAATATAATAACAAAGAGTTATTTAAACTTTCATATTGATTTGTTCCAACAATACACATTTTGCAAGTATATGTGAGATACCCTCAATTGGATGTTGGATTTTCATAAGTGAACCCGTTCAGCATTAATTTCAAATGAAGATGCTATATTTTCCTTTTAATATGTTTCTATTAAGTTTTTAAGCCACAAGTCTTGGGTTCAATTCTGACCTAGTACAACAGAGATGAGGAAGGTTTAGCTCCACAAGATCTCCCTATCTTCATGGAGTATCTCAGTTTACAGAGTAGCTCAACAATTGAAAAGATAGATAATGATAATGAGGTAATAGATTTGTAATGCGGAAGGGAAGGATAATCCTGAAGGTCGTTCATACATTCTTGAATTTAAAAAAGTCCAAGTCATATATTTTTAGTAATAGTTTTGCAGTTCATTATTTGTAATTCTTCATGTGTGGTAAATCAGCTCATGAACCTTAAACTCATTATATATTTAACTATTTTGGGTTGAACGTAATATTTGTTGTTTTGATTAGTCCTATACCTCACAATTGATGGATACAATACTCTCTTATTTTGTTACTCCCTCCCTCCGTAACTTTAAAATCTTCCCATTTCAAAAATAGGTAGATTAAGAATAGTGAAAGAGAATATGAATTATTGAGAGTATGATGAGAAGATAGTGGAATAATGTGATGAAATGTAGGATAAATCCAAAAAGTAGTTGTAATACTATATTATTTTCAGAATTATTGAGGGTATAATGGGAAGATTTAGAAATAGAAAGATTTTTATGTTACGGACGAAAAAGGAAAGTGATCGAGAAGATTTTTTTGTTATGGAGAGAGGGAGTAATTCTTAACGCCTAATGCAAAGTCAATATATGGAAGTTACATATACTACGGAGTACAATATAGAGCGTACATTTGATTGTTACTTATTCAATCAATTCAACTCGATCAGTCTTTAACAATCAAACGAACTAATTAAATTACGTTTATAATTAACGACCGAAATCTAATATAATAATACTTAGTATTTGAATGCGTGATTACCTAATTTGTACATATTAATTATGACTATTTCGTTTATTTAACCAAAAACCAACCCCATGTGTTAATTAACTCCACTATTACCTGAGATAATTTAACATTTGACTAAGCAAATGCTCCCATAAAGGTGATAAAGAGAAAGCATAGGATCTCTCAAGTCTTAACAAACAAACCTTATAATAATAATAATAATCTAAAAGCAATATTCACCTGTTTATTTAAATTTTTAAAAATCTAGCAGATTAAAATTAAATCCCATCTTCATTCATGTATCCTATGGCACATCATTTGAGAAAACAAAAATGATCAAATAAAGATGCTAGCAGTATTTATGATTGGCACTTTGATCAATAAGACAAAGAGAAGAAATATAATAGAATCATCATCAACTTGAATTGCTTAAGACGACACAATTAAGAACCTAATTAAAAAATTAAAAAAACAGAAGGGAGAATTTTCTTTTTTTCCTTTCCTTTTTTTGTCTCCTCAAAACCAATTTCCATCCAAGATGAGGAATAAAAAACATCTAACTTACTGTACATCACCATTCTGGTTCTGTGGAATCCCGAGATTACTACTATTACTATCACTATCACTGCTCGACCCGTAAATGCCGACCAGTTTCTGTAAAATGGAGACCTGGGTTCTGAGAAGAACAATGTAGTTCGCCGTGTCTTGGAACAGCTGGTCGGATTTCCGGTCACCGTTGATCGCGGGTATGAGCTGTTTCAGAGCTTCGATCTTTTCCGGTACAGAGGAGTACGCCGGAGCTCTGTCTCCGGCGGCGCATTGGGTTCTCCGGCGGGTGGTGGATCGTCTTTTCGTCTTTCTGATCGGGAGGTCGCCGGAGATGGGGATTGATCTTGAACCCATGGCGTTTTCTGTCGCCGGAGGAACGGGAAGCCGTTAACGGCGTCACGGAAGTAGAGAGAGGACAGAGAGATGAGAAGCGACGTTCCGTTGGGTTCCCGTTTAGTTATAACAGACAGACAAGGGAAGCGAGGAGACGTTTGGGGAAGGGGTTTAAGTAATGGAAGGTTTGGAGTAGTGCCACCGTTTTCTCCTCGAATCACTATTTTGCCATCATCACTCATTTCGGGAGTTGTCACTTTGCCCCGCTGGACACGATTTTTTTCCTTTTCAGAAAAGGAATAAATTGTTTTCTAAATATAAAAATAATACTCGTAACAAACATTATATATATTTAAAATTAATATATTGTAAATGGTATATTGACTTGTTGTTTTGCAAAAATTAGGGAGTAAGCACTCGTGGGTAATGTCCAGGAAGGGTCAAAATTCGCATGGTTTGACTTTCGAAGTCCTTTTTTTAAGAAGGGAGCTTGTATTGATATCATAACATTCAGATTTGGATTAAAACAACAAAAGAATCACATGTAATCACCAGCTCTTGAACCAGACTCAGAGTTAATCACATTTGACAAAGCAATATAACTCGTTGATCCTAACTTGAGCATAATTAAGCTAAAGCGGTACCGCAGAACTCTCATCACTCATTCCTAATGCAAGAGTCTTACAATAACAAATAAAGTAAAAACAAAGAACAACAGTCTTAATGTGGAAATTAAAATGCAAAACAACAAAATAATAAAAAACAAAATTTGTTTTCTTCAGCAGAAGCACCACTCGCATATCCGGCGGGTCTAGAAGGCCGGACCGCCTTCTCCCCGTTTTTTGCTTTATCCAGAAACATGCTCTCGCCTGAAGGATCCTCTTGAGGCTGCTCTTCTCAAATCCTTATATGCTTTTGGTTCACTGGCACCTCCTTCATACTGCCTATGCCTCCTTCTTTGGTAACACTATTATTCGTGCCCGTTGTAGATTCATGCCAACCCTGTCCCCTGATACCTTCACCCTCTTGATATGTTCTCTGTTGTCTGGGCACCCCTGAATTTGAAGACTTTTCAACTAGCCATTTACTGCCCCCTGTAGGACTGGTCTTCACCCCTCCACCAGCTCGAAGTTCTACCCCCAAAGGATTTTTCCAATACTATATTCTCCTCATATTTTAAGGGACGGAATTTGTTAGATTGCCCAATCACCCCACAAATAAAACAAAAATTAGGAAGTTTTTCATATTTGAAATTCACCCAATGCCCAATACCTCATCTCTTAAGGGTCGAACCCTTCTTCAAAGGCTTCCTGACATCCATACACACCCTAATTCTCATATATGATTCCCATTTTTCATCAAATTGACTTTCATCAAAATGAATAAACCTACCAATATAAATTCCAATTCTTCTAGCAGTTCCTAGCTAGATTCATGAAATTATAAGGTACATTATGCACCCGCACCCAAAACTTTGCTTCACACAATTTCATTCTACGGGGAATATCATTTGGTTTAACTTCCTTAAGAAGCAATAAATTTATTTCAAACCGCCAAGGGCCATCTCCGAGAACACGATTCATATCCACAATATGGTAAAAAGTAAACCGATACCTTTTGTCCTCTATTTCTTTTATGGAAACCCCTTACCTGGACGCCAAATAGAAGCCAACAGATCTTTGAAAACTTGAAATTTGATCTTCCAGTCCGTGAGCACAACGCCAACCACTGGGAGTTCAGCTCTCTTCTCGATTGTGCTAATCTCCTCGTTACCCTCTTCATCAAAGTTCAGCTCGTTGTCTTCCTCTCCGATAGCCATCTTCTTATAGCGATCCACAAAATCCTCCATCAAAAGCCAAAAAAACAATTCACAAAACCGCTACCCCTTCGATCGCTCAGGAGGCACCTCCGGTATGCCTTCAGACTTCGTTAACTAAACTCGTCATCAAACTCACCGACAGCCTTCTGCCTTCGTCGAAAAGATCTTCGCACCAACCTAGAGCAATCCGCCTAACGCGATCGTTCTTCGTCCTCGACGAAAATGGAAAAGAGAACCTGTTTCTAGCGGCCAAGCCCTAGAGAGAGATTTTATCGTAACATTAAAACACATTATATCCCATTAATAATATGATTAAAAATCGTTTTTATTTTTATGTGAAAACATACTTTTTTTATTCTATGTATATGCAATAAAAAGTTGCTATTCAAATTTCAAATGTTATTAGATTTAATGCTATATCCCAAAACAATTTTGACTTTAGCCTGATGTCCCAAAGTTCATATTCCCCCCTTTAGAGAGTGTTTGAGAGTTGGTTTTTGGGAGTTGATAACCTTGTATTTGTGTTTGGGAGTTTAAAGAATATTGAGTAATGATTTCATAAGGCTTTTGTGACCCTCCAAAATTCCTACAAAACTCAAATTTTAAGTTCCTCCATGACGCGGGATTTAGAAAGATAACTAATTAAATGATAATTTAAACTAATTAATATGAATATTAATTCAACTTTTTGAATTCACAATATCTCTAAATTGATTTTCATTATAATTCCTTCTAAAATTATATTTTTCAATTTTACTTTGTTTATACATCATAAAGGACTTTATCGATTTTACTACCCTCAAATAAGAATGAAGTGTTTTCTCATCTTCCCCTCTCTTTCCTCTCCAACAACTTACCTTTAATCTCTCCTCCCCTCTTTTCCCTCACTCTAGAACTACATCTATGGTTTCAGAAGGGATGGACTAAAGTGATATTTGAGACTGATGTCATTGTAGTTGTTCAAGGAATTTATAAGGAAGGTGGAATGTCTTATTTTGATCTCTTACTTAATGATGTAAGAGATGTGCGAATCGTGTTGCCCACATCTCGATAGACCAAGCGTAGCCATCTCAGGTCTTAAGTAATGCTATGAGAGTATTCCAAATTGCATTGTAAGTTAAGAATAGGTTATTATGTGGTTAATGATATTGTGCAAGCTATGTATTGATAAGGATATTCAATGTTTTGAGAAAATCATTTCATGTATTACTAACATTTTATGCATTGTCTTAAATATAATATGTTTTTTTTTTCAATACGATGACATATTAGGATGTTTTCTTTTGGACTGAAATTTGTTGGTCTGGTCTGTTCTGGTCTAGTGTGATCGGGTCAGGTTTGAACAGGTCTGGTCTGGTAACGTCTGGTCTCTGACTCTCTGTGTATTTTATAACTATAGAAGTTTGGTCTTATCTTGTTTGATCTGATCTGGTCTGATCTGAGACTGAAAACAATCTAAAAAACATTTTATTGAGCGAATTATGTTTCTTAATATAGTGTAAATTTTTGAACCCCACTCCAAAGAGGCTTTTGATGTTGGAGGCATTCCGAATCCACCACTCACGTTCCTGCACATTACCCCAGCACCGCAACACCTTGCATTGTTATCTTTTCTAATATCTGATGATCGCTAACATCCATTTAACAGCATGTCTTTTCAATGTCAATTTTAATAAAATTAATTAATTGTTTAATCCTATACTATTTGGCACGTGTTATTGGTAGTCTTAAATGTGATATTGTCCTCCCTAATATAATGCATCATGTTTTTAGATCAGATGTCCTCGGTAACTACTTTACATCAATTCTTTTTCTCGGCGCCAAACTCATTTTTTAAAATAACGACACTTACATTTTAAAATAAAAATAAAAAATATAGAAACTTACAACATTCCCAATGTTATACGTAGTACGTAGTAATATGTAGTTATACATGTTACATAAAAGAGAAAGATATTATAAAAATAAATTAATGACATTTTCTCCCTTTCTTACCACACTCTTACATATTTTTAATAACTTTTTCTGTGTAATATCAACCACAAGATCTACACTTAGAACGTCTCCAATACAAAAACATAAATAATATACATGTGGCACGAGAGAGACACACATAAAATAAATAAGTAGAATATCTCTCTCCTTATTGAACGGTCATATATGTTTTTGACAAGTTTTTCTTCACATTGTCAAGTATAATGTTCAGATATAGACATTGTGATTGATATATTCAGTAAAACTTATCAAAAACTCGTAAGAACATGGTGATATGGTTTGAACTAGAGTTTGGTTTTGTTCATCCTATAGGATTTTTTTCTCTATTAATCTTAGTTTCCTTGTAAAACCCCATGCAAACAGAAAGTGAAGAGGATCAAGGTCTGAAGGAGTATATGCAGAAGGTAGAGAATGAGCTCTCCAATTTGCACTGACAGCATGACTGTAATCAATGATCATCTTATCCCCGTCTCCTCTAACAAAAATTATACTTTTTATTGCGAGATGTGAGGAGCGGGTCTGTGACCACAATTTTCTATCTTTTAGTTATTTGACAGTTTTTGGGTGGTTATTAGCTTAATTGCAGGAAAGGGGATTATTATCGGCACCTTTCCAATTTTCTATCTTTTAATTGCAGGAAATGGATTGAAAGAATGACTACAAGACCATACTTTATTTCAGTTCGGCTCAAATTTGTTATTTTGTGATGATATATTAAGATTTTATTGATTTTTTAATTTCGATTTGGTTGTATACGGTTTGGAATAAATTCTATCAAACTCAAATAATCAAAATACTACATGATTCACTTTCGGTTCGGTTTAGTTAGATTTGATCAAATCGAGCTGATTTGTCCACCCATAACTTAAATATAGCTGCAAATGTTTACTGGTAGAGATTTATAATGCACATGTTACAAATCTTCTTAGTTGGCCCTTTATTGACAAATGTGATGGTAAATTGTAAAATATACATATTTTTGAGCAAAAATATACATTGGACATTTATATAATCGCGCATTGCGCGTGTGAAAACGAGTAAAATGATAAAAAGACATCTATTGTAACATCAGTCGGATATAACATGCTAAAAATGTTGCATTTGATATATTGTGACATCTTTACACCTATTGCAACATTTGACATGTGCTACGTACAAAAGCTACTTTGTTGTAATGATCTCACTAGCTACGAGGCCTTCTTCTTTTACTCAGTTTTTTGGAAAGAGTATAGTTATTTATGTTTTTCCATAGACTAATCCATCATAATTTTAGTTATATATATATAGAGAGAGAAGTGATCAGGTCCAGCCGGAGGGACGGGAGGCTCCGTCCGAACTCCGCCGTTTGGGGCGGTTCCCGGTGGAAGTTTTTTATGAAAGTTTTTGAGCATGTTCTTCATCAAGTCTAGTTTGTTCATACCAAATTGCAGCTCAAAATTCGACCGGGAAGGCATCCAAATCATTTTTTGAAGTTAACTGCGCCAAAATATACATATAAAAATGCAGTCAACTTCAAAAAATGATTTGAATGCCTTCCCGGTCGAATTTTGAGCTGAAATTTGGTATGGACAAACTAGACTTGATGAAGAACATGCTCAAAAAATTTCATCAAAAAAATCCACCGGGAACCGCCCCAAACGACGGAGTTCGGACGGCGGCTGGACCGGGGAGGGCTGGACCTGATCTTTTTTGTATATATATATATATATATAGAGTAATCTTCTGGTCAGGTATACCTGACCGGAGCCGCCATCCGGCCTCCTCCTTTTGGGGGTCTTCCCGTTGGTATTTTTTGCTCGAATTTTTGTGTATGTTCCTCATCAACTCTAGTTCATCCATACCAAATTTCAGCAAAAAATTCAATCGGGAAGTTCGTCAAATGATTTTTGCAAGTTAACTGGTCCGGAATATGTATTTTCCGGACCAGTTAACTTGCAAAAATCATTTGACGAACTTCCCGATTGAATTTTTTGCTGAAATTTGGTATGGATGAACTAGACTTGATGAGGAACATACACAAAAAATTTAAGCAAAAAATACCACCGGAAAGGCCCCCAAAAGAAGGAGGCCGGACGGCGGTTCCTGTCAGGTATACCTGACAGCAACATTTGTGTGTATATATATACATATATATATACATATATATATACATATATATATACATATATATATACATATATATATACATATATATATACATATATATATACATATATATATACATATACATATACATATATATATATATACATATATATATATATATATATATATATCCTGTTGGGGTATTGGGTCCAGGCCCAATACCCCCGATCCATGATGGGAAAAAGCCCGGAGGAAACAATTGGCCCAAAACGGTACAAGACACCCCGGTCAAGATGCCCGAACAGCGTTCGGGCATCTCAACCCATGGAACATTGCCAGCCAAGTGACATGTCTAGCCCAAGCAACGTTCGGGTTATTTGGCCTACTTGGGAAGAGTCAACGAGAGCGTTACCATCCGAGGACTACGCCCCACACAGGCGATACCTGACCGGTGTTCGGGCCATTTCACCCCAAAGGGGGCAATACATCAAGTACAACACCGGCGGGGACCCCGCACCCCGGACTGGGTGCCCGGATGCAATAACAGCAAGTGGCAACCGCATTTAATGCTAGAGTATGGCGGGAACTAGTGGAAGCATGGCGGGAAAGGCAACAACCAACAGGGTTTGGCCATACGTGTCCTTCTCACCTACTATTCCTTACTATAAATAGCAGCATTTAATTCATTGGAAGGGGAGAGCATTTGTGTACTCGGAGCTTAGAGAGAGATTTATTGTCCTATTCTTGTATTAATTCACTACTCCGTTAGGCCGTTCGGATAGTCCTTGGTACTTGCGATATTAATACAAGTTCAGCTCCTGGATGCAATTCTTCTTCGTGTGTTGGGCTTCCGGATCTACGGGACTTAACCTCAACATATCCAAATAAATCTCAATTACATTATAGGTAGTATCAAATTATATTTTTTAGAGTCGTAGTATCAAATTTATGAAGTGTGTTAGTTATCAAATTTAGTACTCCGTATCAAATTATTTTGTGGGATAAAAACAGTATTATTTATCACTACAAAAAACTATAGGATTAGCACAAATTTGGTACAGATTTACCGATGATTTCGTGCCAATAGCTCTTGCCTAAACGTTGTTTGCACGAATTTGACATATCCCAGCTGCCAAAATTCCTACCAGTTTCGTAGAATCTCTGCTAAAAGTTCTTGTCAATCTCGTGTTTTTTTTGTGGTGTATAGATATTTTCCCCTTCTAAGGAGTGAAGTAAATGGATGCTATATTTTTGTTTTGACAAACGCAACTTCACTTAATTATTATATATTTGAAAACTATTAAATTGTGTCTGAAAAGAGAAAAGAAAAGCGAAAAATGGCATGTGGAAGTGATTCAAAAGATGGTGCAAAGAATGTGCAAAAAAAGTATCCTTGAATTTACTATGAACATGGATGGGACTGCTCAGGAGTAAACTTGTTTCCTGTCTCCTGCCGGCATCCGATCGATCGGTATACTATACTCTCACTTCATTGTGTTTAATTTATTTATTTCACTCACGGGTAATATTGCATGTTTTCATACAGTACCCATATTTCACTACTATTCAATATTTGCACTATGGATGACTCGTATTTATTAATCAAATTCATAAATAGTCTCAAGGGTCCATATAAATCCCCACCTGACCTACTCCCATTCATATTACTAAGATTGATTGAGACATGCAAGAGAATGTGTCATGATTATTAAGAAAAACAAGTTTGTGTGGTTGATATTAAATTGATAAAGTAAGAATAAAGTAAGAATAAAGTAAGAATGGTTTAGAGCCACACAATCTTTACCAAATTTGGTATGAGACAATCTTAGTGGGACTTCCCGAAAAGGTAAAATGGGACAATCTTAGCGGGACGGAGGGAGTATTTTATTAAATAAGGCGTATTAGACTTGTCTGATCAAGTCTCAAATATTTTTCTAAACACACTAATTGACTAATACGGAGTATCATACTTCTTGTTCACAATATTATCTTCACACATATACTTCCAAAAAAACGTAAAGGTTTGATGAGACACAACTCCTTGCGAGTCGTGCCGTGTAAATTTTGTGCA